CTTTTACTAGCCCGTATGGGGTACCATCTTTTGTTAGGCCACCTGATTTTCTTTTCCTGCAGACCCAGATGCCCTCATCCTTCTAGCATATTGGAGGATCCAGTTTTCCACATCCCACACAGATGCCCTTATCCTTCCAGCATATTGGAGGATCTAGCACCCCACATCCCATATAGATGCCCTTATCTTTTCAGCAGACTGGAGGATCCAGCACCCCACATCCCACACATATGCCCTTATCCTTTCAGCATACGGGAGGATCCAGCACCCCACATCCCACACAAACTGGAGGATCCCGCACCCCACATCCCACACAGACTAGAGGATCTTGTACCCCACATCCCACACATGTACCTGCACGTGAGGATGATCATGCGCAGCCGGATGATGATGATGATGATGATCATGTAGATGGGGATGATGATGTGTTGGATGGAAATGATCTTCGAGGGAATGATGATCCGAGTGAGATTCATGTCATTGACGAGAGATTTTGGATTTGGCCCGAAAGAAACTCGTAAGTTTCTTATTTATAAATTTTTATTTAAGATAATGCATTTTCATTTTTAATATAAATTTATATTTAATATAACTAATTCAAATAATTGTTTTTTAGTTTCTCGCTGAGTCGGACTGCTGCCAAGGTTATAAATTATATAATTCAGCAGATGTATAAACAATTTTGGAAGACCTTCACAGATATCAAAAATAAAAGAAGCTTGGTTTAACAAATTTAAGGTATAATTAATTTATTTTTTAGTTATTTGTTATTTAAATGACTATTTCATTATAGTTATCTAATTATTTATTTTAATGTCATACAATATTGCAGGAAAAATGTGTGTGGGACCCATTGAACGAGAAGATGATAAAAAAAATTATTATGGCAGAACCTCAAGACGTCTTTCTGATATAATGCGTCGTGTTAGAGAGTGTTGGGAACTTCAGGGTATCCGTCCCAATTGGATAGGGAAAGAGGTTTTTGAGAAACTTCTTAAATATTGGGAGTCACCCAAATTTCACGATAAATCTGGAAATTTTAAGAAGACGAGGGCATCTGAAAAAGGGGGTTGCGTTAATGCAGTTAGAAGTATAAGTACCGCAGAGCATGTTCGGCACATGGTAAATATTACCACTTTTTTAAGTTATATTTTGATTCTTATTTTATTAATTAATATTAATTTTTTTTTATTTAGACCAAGAATTTGGGGAGACCTTCATTGATGATTGAGTTGGTTAAAAAGACTCGGACAAAGAAAATCGGAGATTTTGTTGACGAACGCACTCTAAAGGCTTTCATAAGTTATTTAATTTACGTTGTTGTTTATATTTTTTTTATTTAATGATAATTTTGTGTCGTGATTTTCACGTGGCAACTGAGAAACTGTGACGGGAAAATCACGTGGCAATTGAGAAGTCATGACGTGAAAATCACGTGACAACTTTTTAAATATAATTTTATTTTAATTTAATTTAATTTATTAAATATTTAACTTAATTTTTTTATTTTTTATTGATGTATATGAGGATTATCAGACATTGCTCGCAAATTTTGAGTCATAATCCTCAATATACTCCGGGAGAGCCGCTTCATCCAGATGTGGACTTTTATATTTGGGATCAAGTCATTGGCGGAAAAGGCCCTAACGGTTATTTTTTTGGTGATGGAAATTTGGCGGGCACCTTGAAAAGTGGAGATAGAACTCTATTTCAAAGAGTTAGAGATGGGGAAGGAGGGTCACGTCAACCAAATTTGACACCAGAATAACTTGAAACCGTAAGACAATTGACGTTAAATGAGGCGAGACGCGAGTCAGCGTAACGTGAGGCGCAATGAAAGCCCAAATAGAGACCAAAATGGAGGCAATGAGGCAAGAGAAACAACGACAAATGGAGACCATGGCGAAGAGGCAAACTGATATGGAGCAACAAATGAGACAATTTATGCAAGGGTTTGGTGGAAATGCAAACTTTCGCGGTCAAGAGTCGGAGGATGGCGGAAGCGAAGATAATTTTGACATTGATAATTATGACCCGTAAACTTTAATTTTTTTTATTTTACTTTCAAACTTGAATTTGTATACAATACTAATTAATTCTTAAATTTATAATTTTAGTTTATTTATTTTATTTTATTAAATTTAATATATTAAATTTATTATATATTTAATTTATTATTTTAATTTATTATATTGAATTTATTAAATTGAATATATAAAAGAAAAACAAATTCAGTTATTAAATTTAAAAAAAAATATTACTGACGTGATTTTCACGTCACAAGTTGTAACGTGAAAATCACGTCGCAACTTACTTTCTATATAAAAAAAAAGTTGATGGCAGACGTTATAAAAAACAAATAATTGAAACTATTTAGTGACGTGTTTTTCACGTCACTAATTTGTGACGTGAAAAACACGTCGCAAGTAAAGTAACTATATACCTGCTACGCCTGCTCTCTTGCAGAGATGAGTTTTTGTATAAAACTTTATTGCGACGTGATTTTCACGTCACAACACTGTGACATAAAAATCACGTCGCAGACTTTTTGCCACCTCCTCCCCAGCCACGTAAACGAACATGTCGCAAGTATTGTGTAGTGACGTGATTCCTTACGTTGTGACGTGAAATTCACGTCGCAAATGAGTGTTTTTTTTGTGCATTTTACTGATGCTATTGAAATTAATTTATTATCTCTTATAAAAATAATAAATTATGTTGGTTAGGCAATTTATTTTTTCATTTTATTTTTTTATTATTTTATTATATTTTAAAAATAATAGTGCGTACCACATCAACACTTGTGTGAACGCACGGATAAAACACCAATTCTGTGTGAACGCACGAGTAACCTGATCAAAATTCATGTGAACGCGTGTGAACGCACAGATAATCAGACTAAAATTTGTGTGAACGCTCAGGTAACACATCAGTATTGTGTGAACGCACGGGTAACCATTTTAAAATCAATGCAAACTGACAGATTATTACATATTTTTACATTTTTTTATAAATAATACATTTTATTGATAAAACAATTTTGCTTTTTCGACTTACATTTTTATTACATTTTAAAATAATTATATTGTTGATTAAAATATATTATAATTTTGTTTTTCTATTTTAAAAATAATAAACTATTTTTAATAGGAAATTTGTATTTTTTCTATTTCATTTTTCTTATTATTTTTTATTATGTTTTTTTTTAAGATTTAATTATTGATTGATTTAATTAACTTATATATTTATCTTTGACTATTTATTTATTTATTTTTTTATAATTAAATTTAAAAAAAATTTATTTTATTTAAATTTCATAATCAAATTGATAATAATTTCATAGTCTTCACCAGTATTCGTACGGACGCACGAATATTCCACTAGTTATTATAAAAAAATAAAACATAACGCAGCTAAACATAATATTTTATTTTTTTTCTGACTGAAGTGAAAAATTCATCATAAAATATATTATTTATAATAGTAAAATGTTTACACCATATTCAAATATCGTGTATATATATACACCATTTATAATTATTGACGTGACTAAAGAAAAAAAATAAAAAAATAACATTATATTAAAAACCGTATAAATATAAGGTGTTGGACTCAAAAAGTGTTCAAATAACATTTCTCTATTAAATATATTAAATCCAGAAATATTAAAATAAAATAATTTAACATCTTATAATGAAAACTTATTTGACAGATTTTATATATTTTAAAGATTATTTATTATACTTGTGTTGTAAAGGCTAAAATTGCTGGTTATTGACATTCTAGAATCCAGCCTAGTATGTAATTGTCTCAAATTTGTCGGAGGAATATATCAAATCCAGAAATATTTAAATATTTAATTGATAGATTTTTTATACTTTAAAAATTATTTATTATATTTCCCGTCAAAAAAAATATTATTTATTATATTTATATGGTAAAGTCTAAAATTGCTGGTTATTGGCATTCAAGAATCCAGTTTAATATGTAACTGTTTCAAATTTTTGATACTGTTACATAAATTTGAAAATTAAAATTTATTAGAAATTTCAAATGTATTAACAAAAATTTACTCTAGAAATTTCAAATGTATTAACAAAAATTTACCCTTACTAGAAATTTAATAAGAATGTACTGAAAATTTGTTATATATCAAAAATTTTATCATTTCTATCTCATCAAGAATAAAAATGAAATAAATAAAATTCGAAAGATAGTATATTTAATTTAAAAGGTGGCAGGTTAATTTCTCAATTTGTTGGAATTAATAAAGCTCTTTAATATGAACGACTATTAATACTATCCTTACAATTAGGACAACATAGTTTCTCCATATCACCTCTTAATTTTGCATCCCTAATCTCAAATATTATACTAATTTAAACAGTGCTAGCACAGGGCACTCCATTTTATTTTAATTTATATGGATAACAACAATCGATGAGAAACTGATTTCGAATTTATTAAGACCCACTTCGCAAATCTAAAAAAGTGTATATTAAAAATAGTATTACTAACTTTTTTCTAATTAAAAGTTTTGATATAAAAAATTGAAATCAGTTGGTAAAAAAGTGTATATATCTGTCTGTTTGATCAAACTAATAATATACACATTCTATTACAAGTTAATTCTCTTAAAATTATTATTTTTTCAAGGCAAACTTGAATTAATTGAACCAGAAGAAATATTGCAATAGAGTACTGCACTTTGAATTGCAACACCCTTGTACCAGGAAATTCCATGACCAAAGTGATTAAGCTATTTACTAATAGGACGAAATGCAATTATTACTGCTTACTCTGTATTCTCAAGTTAACAAAAGGCACATGTCTTATTTATTGGGATTAAAAGATTCATTACAAACTTAGAAGTTCTTACAAAATATCCACCTTGAGGGTGGCATGTGCCAATCAAGTTTTTTTTTTTTTTCATTCTCATAAAATGATTTTATGGAAAGCCTTTTTTCATTATAAACCAATATCTAATGCACACCGTCTATCTATCTCCTCCCATGTCCTCCAGTTACTTTGAAGTGATGGTGTGCATCTGGGCCTCCTGGGCTGACTCGAAGGGGTTTAAAGTACTTGTTTCTTGTTGCATTGCTCTTTCTGAAGCCAATGCTAAAAGAGACCTTAGCACTTGTGTTCGATGTTTTATCTATCTTTGGCAGGCTTCTGGCTTTTGATCCTGAATAAAGGTAGTGCTTGACTGTACCAAAGATGTCAGAGCTAGCATGGAAATGAAAAGAAAATGGATGAATCCTCAACGGCCGAGTCTCGCACATGGAGAATGAAAGCAGCAGGAGCAAAGTAAAGAGACAGGAGCTCAGTCTTGCCATTTTAATTTGCCACCTTAAGATTTTGAAGAACGCTAAACACTTTGCTATATTCAAGCAAGGAAGGCAAGGTATATATATATATATATATAAGCATCATGGTTAGTCATGGTTTTTTGTTTTAGTAATCTAAGTGGAAATCCAAGCACATGAAAACATTTGTCTGAGTATGTCGCGCAATTCGTTTTTGTATCTTAATGAGCACTTCCAACTAATTGCCAAAAGCTTTTATTATCCTTAATATACGTTAAAAAAAAATATTTACAAATCTGTGTTTGGACATATGTGAAAAAGATTCATCTTGGATTTATACGCAGAGCCAAATTTGTTGTATTCCATCCTCAACCACATCATTCACCTCCCTAGTGCTAATGTGTTGCCTAGTGAGTGTATTGCTATGTCGTATGTGAAAAAAATACCAATAAAAAATGCTAATCTGACGGAGACGAGTATCCCCATTTCTCAGTCGTGTTTGCCTTCCAACTTTTGAAGAGTCACATCAATGATGACCAATTGTAAACCTTTTTTTTTAGTTTACTAATCTGCATAATTGCTTACTTGACCGTTCCAATTAGGTATTTTAATATTTTTCGTGATGTCTGTGGAGCTAACTAACATGCATACTTGCCATTTTACTCGGTGTTTCATTTTTCTTTTCCTATCTAGACCAGAAAAGGATGATGAAATACAGTTTTTAAAAAGTACACTAGATTTACAAAAGTTTGCTTTTTTTTAACATAAGCAATAACCCAAAAGGTTGCTTGAATTAGTCGGGGCTCAGAACTTACTCCCAGACGAGATCACATTGTAAAACTAATTCATGTTTACTCTGCTACTCACAGTTGCAAAATAATTGATGAATAATGGTAGCTGAGCTTATACGTGCTAAACATTTGAATATTACGTGGATGCATATATAGGCCTACTAAATTGTATCATGTCCCATTATATATTCTTTTCACATTTGATTGGCTTTCTTGGCCATGAACGTGTATTTGCTTTGCTTACTCTTACAATGCAGCTGATTATATTAAATTTTGCTAGACAAAACTAGCCTTAGTTTCCTATAAAGATAACTTCCACTCGCTTGACAAAAGATAGCACGAAACACTATTCAAGCATACAAAATGCTTCCTAAATGACCGAAATATATTTCAAGTCTATAATGAAATTAATTTTGTCTAATAACCCATGCTTTGTAGGTCAGTATGTAGTTTATAATATGACTGAGGAACAAAGACATCAGAAAAAAGAGACTTAGAGTGACTAGAAGAAGCAGCTGATTTTGAATGGATGCAAATTCGACATGATGTTTTTCTTTTAATTGCAAAACGACATGATGTTGTTTAGCTAAGCAAGGAACATAGACAACAGAAGGATTCGTTATTGAAATTGTTATCACAGTAATAGTATCACAGATTTACATGCTATTTACTCACAGCGTGAATATGATGGATATAGTCGTATAGGAACAACCAAACAAGCCTAGCTCTGTTTCTCCGGACTTTATGTTTGTTTGGTTGAGCGTTGCAACACAGCAGCTGTGCGTCTAGTGGTTGATTAAACCTGAAAATAAGAAGCTCAAAATTGTAGCTTTGGAAAAAATGTATATGGATGATTTGACCGTTTGACGTGGAAACCAACAGTCACTTTGTATTTGTAGTTTGGAAATTTTCTATATCAAATCATTTCATAATCAACAAATTATAACAACAATCATTTTTAACAAAGAAATTTTGAGATTCTCGCTCCCTTTCCTGTAATTGGACTGACCTTGTCTGTTTTTCTTCTAAGCTACCAATTGTGCAATAGAGTTCGCATTTTAGCTCAGCCATAAACCAATCATTTCTACCTCATTATTGATGTTCAAGACCAAATGTCTAACACTGGAATCTTCCAAGACATGCAAAATCAATTGTGAAACCTTTTTTTCTAAAAGGTAGCACTAAGAGGGAATTATTGCCTAAGCTTCGGCTGAAAAGTGTTTTTTTTTTGTTACATTGCTAAATATTTATTTAACTACATTAACGCCTAAATATGACAACAAAATCAAAATGGACTTGTGGCATGCATCACAATATAGAATAGACTTCATACATACTTGAAACCTTCATAGACCAAAAAGATGTCAATTTTTTTACAGTTTTTCATCTTAAAAAAATGGAAAATGCTTCTCAGTCAAGACATCAATGAAAGCATACAAATTTTATATAAATGTATTAGAGTAATACAAATATAGCATAGTAGAAATAGACTAAAGAATATACTTGTAAGTAGCTAAACTGTTAAGTTTAGACTGCATAGCCTCACTATATAAACTCAATCTTATCTTGAGATGTAACTAACATTGAGAAATACAAAAGCAGTTGCAACTAACTTTCTCTTCTCTCTCTTCTCTCTCTCTCTACTCTTTCTACATTTCTATTATGGTATCAGAGCCTGGTTAATCCATTTCAATGGCTTCCGATAGCGATAGCTCTAACAACAACGTCCAAAGCGCGGTGGTCCGCGACGGTGTATCGTCCATTTTCAACCTGAAGAACGTGTTCAAAACGTTTACGCAACACTGAAACTTGATGAAAACAACTTCAGACCATGGAAGCAACAGATCGAAGGCATCATTCGAACGCATCGTCTTCATCGTTTGCTGGTAATTCCGGTTATTCCACCGCGATATCTCTCCGATCATGATCGCGCCGCCGATAAGGAGAACCCTGAGGTTCTCGTTTGGGAGCAGCAAGATCCGTTGCTGTTTACGTGGCTTCTCACCACGTTATCCGATGTTGTGCTTCCTCTCGTGATTCGATGCGTCCATTCTCACCAGATCTGGGACGAAATTCATCAATATATCTTCGCTCACACAAACGCGAAATCGAGGCAACTTTGTTCGGAGTTGAAGTCCATAACCAAAGGTGATAAATCCATTACTGCTTATCTTACTCGCATTCAAAGGATTGTTGATATTCTTGAATCAATTGATGATCCTATTTCACATCGAGATCAACTTGAAGTGGATTGCCAGAGGAATATAATGCCCAGGCCTCTATTATCCAGTATCGTGCAATTTTATGTCCTATTATTGAGGCAGAGTCAATGCTTCTTTCTCATGAAGTAAAGATGGAAAAATCAAAGAAAGCCACTCTATCTGAGCCTCTTTCTGTCAATGTAGCTCAAGCTACACCTGCTGGTGTGGTCAATAATGTTCCTCAAGTCGCTCATGACTCCACCAATGTGATGCAGTACTCTGAAACTCCCTCTTATGGTGAAAATCGTGGAGGTTTTCGTGGTGGAAGGCATAATCGTGGCAGAGGTGGCAGAAGTGGTGGCAGAAACAGAGTCTACTGTCAAATCTGTGCAAAGTCAGGGCATGATGCTAGTATTTGCTATCATAGACACGCTGCCTTGATGCCTACAACACAAAGACCAGCATGGAATCAATGTCTTAACCCTGTTATATCTCAACCTACTGCACCAGGTGGCTACAATCCATGGTTCCCTGCTCCTCCAGCTCAAGCTCCTTTGCCGAACCAATGGCTTTCTCAAGCTCTCAAAGGTCCTCCTCCTGGTTTTGTTCCAGATTCCATGTATCAGCCACAGACTCACTTCACTGGGACAGGCTTTCTAGCACCAGCTAACTTCACACAACAGGCTTCACCCTGGTATCCAGATTCAGGTGCTACACATCATGTAACTAATAATGTTAATTATCTGTCTGAGAGTGTAGCTCTACCTGGCACTGACCAAGTCTTACTTGGTAATGGCCAAGGTTTTCCCATTACTTCCATTGGCACTGCTTATTTCAATTCACCTTGCAAAGCACACACACCTCTCACTCTCAAAAGTCTTTTGCTTGTTCCTCACATTACCAAAAACTTGATGTCTGTGAGTCAGTTTGCCAAAGACAACAATGTCTTCTTTGAATTTCATTCTGATAGGTGCTTTGTCAAAACACAAGGTGATTCCAGCATTGTGCTCCAAGGGTTTCTCAATAAAGATGGTTTGTACACTTTTGGCTCACTTCAACCAGTTTCCAAGTCTGCTTCAAAGCCTTCTGCTTCTATAAATAATGTGTCCAAGGCATTTGTGCAGCCAACCATGTCCTGTTCCTCAGCCTATACTATGTGGCACAACAGGCTTGGTCACCCTCACCATGAAGCATTGAAGTCAATCCTGCAACTATGCAACATTCCTGTGCCTCATAAGTCTCCCCTGGATTTTTGTGCTCCTTGCTGCTTGGGAAAAATACACAGATTGTCTAGTACACTTTCACACAAAAATTACAATAGACCTTTTGATTTGTTGTTTGCTGATGTATGGGGCCCAACTCCTATGGATTCCAGTTTTGCTTACCTGTGTTGATGCTTATTCTAAATACACTTGGGTGTTTCCTATCAAGTTAAAATCTGAAGTGCTGCTCACACTCACACACTTTATCACAACCATTGAGGTTCAGTTCTCAACTCGTTTAAAGGCAGTTCAGACTGATGGTGGAGGGGAGTTTAAGTCACTCACCTCCCTATTTCACTCCAAAGGCATTGCACATAGGCTTGCCTGTCCACACACACACCATCAGAATGGTTCAGTTGAGAGGAAGCATAGGCATGTAGTGGAAACAGGGCTAGCCTTGCTCGCTCAAGCAAGCCTTCCTCTTAAGTTCTGGGATCATACTTGCTTGATTGCAGCTTATCTAATTAACAGAATGCCTACCCCCTTGTTAGAGATGAAATCTCCTTATTTCATGTTCTACAACACTGTTCCTGACTATAAGTCTTTAAAAGCTTTTGGCTGTGCATGCTTTCCACACCTCAGACCTTACTCTGCTCACAAGTTCAACTTTCACTCTCAAGAGTGCATTTTTCTGGGATATTCCTCCAATCATAAGGGATACAAGTGTTTGGCTCCCACTGGCAGAATCTACATCTCTAAGGATGTCATTTTTAATGAGACAAGGTTTCCCTATACTTCCTTGTTTACTTCTGCAGCCTCCTCTAACACCTCTGTTC